GACAGGTCAGAGTCCAGGATTAAATTAGGACCCTGGCATGAGGAGAGGGACTGATAGTTGTATTATTGACCCTGGTGGAAGAGGCGAGGGAGGGGGCACAGGTGGAGGAAATATCATAAGCTCAGTTTTAGAAAGATTTCATTTTAGGAAGTGGTGTGACATTGGTACTGATATGTCAGTTAGTAAATTAGTGATATGCAAGAAGACTGAAGGGGTGAGGTGAGGAGTAGAGATATAGATTTGGGTGTCATCAGCATAGAGATGGTATATGATTGCCATATGATTGTTTCTTACATAATGGATAAGGATGTTTTAAACAGCAATTTTTGAATGTTTAGGAAGCAGGACCCAGACCCATCATAAGTAACAGTACTGCTGAACCCCTCTAACCTCCAGTGATCCCCGTACATACCAGCAAAGCTCCAGGCACAGGAAGTCAGCCATGAAAAATGCTAAGAAATTCAAAAAAGAAAATCAAAAATATTTTCTTGTACTGCATCATTGAATACTCCCACTGCTTGAAGTACGTATTCTTACCCTGTAAGGAGTCATCCAAATTCTAAACAATGCTTATAATTTGAAGCAATGTTTGCTATCTGAATGCTAGCCAAAGTCTTGACAACTTTGCTATCAGTTTTGGAGCTTTCTCTAAGCTATCAAACTCTGTCTGCCATCTGGCACTCATGGTTTCATTTATTTCTCAGTTCTGAATAACCAGACAAACCAGCCTGTGGTGGAAATCAATAAAAACCAATTCAGTGCTAATTAAATATGTTATTTTAATTGATTTCCATGTCAATTTTGGTCGCTCAAAAGTGGAACTGATCAAACCTTGGGTGCTGCTGTGGCTGAACATTCATAGAGGCTGCAAAAACTACCAATAAAACCAACAAGTGTATGGCTGGCATTATAGCGTAATGTGATAATATAATGGTTTTCAGGTAATTTTATGTATTTTTTAAAGATAATACTTTTTCCAAATGATGATTCCCAAAACACTATGGATTAACTGAAAAGTGCACAATAGTAGTTGTCTCATTTTAGGCAGATGTTTTTTACAGCAAGCTCAGATGGAGCTTTATGGAGGGAGGTGGAGTCATGGGAAGGAGTCAGTTCTCTGAGTTCAACTCATCCACCTGTGTGTACATTTCAACTTGAGCTACTGAGCTCTTTATAGAGCAGGCTGGTTATAACAGAAAAAACTGAAACACAGGTGAAAATGAGCCTAAAGCTCCAGTATTTCATATTTATCTGACATTTATTTTTTTAGTTCTGACCATAATTGATAAAAAAAGTTTTAAATGTTATAATAATAAATAAATAATAATTAAAAAAGCACAGATGTCTCATCATTTCCTTCCCCTACTCATCTCCCTAACCCCTCCATAACCCTTTCTTGAGCAAAAACAGAGAGCACAGGAACTTATCAGCTCACAAGATTTCTGGCAAGGACCCCACGGCCTGTCCCAGCTACCGCCCCATCTCCCTCCTTAATGTGGACATCAAGCTTTTTGTGAAGGTCCTAGCCACGCGCCTTCTTCCGTATCTCCCCTCCCTGATCCACCCGGACCAGGCAGGCTTGGTCCCCACCAGGGAAGCTAGGGACAATACTATTAGGGCCCTTAGGCCCTTAACATTATCCACTTGGTCCGGTCGAAGGCCTCCCCGTACCTACTGTTGTCGACTGATGCGGAGAAGGCCTTTGACAGGGTCGACTGGTCCTTTCTTCGCCTTACCCTGGAGCACATTGGGTTAGGTGAGGGCATGCTATCTTGGATCCTAGCTCTTTACTCGAATCCCACGGCTTGCGTAAGCGTCAACGGTATCCTATCTGCACCCCTCACCATAGGCAATGGCACTAGGCAGGGATGCCCGCTCTCCCCCCTCATTTTCACATTGACGCTTGAACCTCCACTGCGCACCATCCGGGCCCACCCAGACATCGGGGGCATCACGGTAGGATCCACCCAACATAAAATAGCTGCCTACGCAGATGACCTACTGTTTTTTGTCTCCTCCCCAGACACCACGCTACCCAATTTGACATGTGCCCTACGCCAATACGGCGACCTGGCCAACTTCCATATCAACACTCAAAAATCGGAAGCTCTCAATCTGACAGTACCAGCCCGGATGCTATCCCGTATTCAGCAGAACTTCCCGTACAATTGGGCCCCCAATGCCATCAAATACTTGGGCATAAAACTCCCCCGCGATCTCTCCCAACTATACAGTCTAAATTTTCCGCTTCTGCTATTGAAGGTTAAATCGGATCTAGAGGGCTGGGCCAGGAACACGTTTTCCTGGACAGGTCGGTGTAATGTCGTGAAACAGAACGTCCTCCCACGCTTCCTCTATCCCTTCCAGGCCCTACCAATACGAATCCCTCGGGCTTACTTCCGATACCTTCAGGCAGCGATATCCTCCTTCGTTTGGGCAGGTAAGACCCCCAGACTCCGCCTGTCGGTCCTTCGGCGGCCAAAGCTGGCGGGGGGTCTGGGACTTCCCGACCTATACCGGTACTACATGGCCTCCCACCTGACACGAGTCGTGGACTGGTGCAGACACGGGGAGACTAAACCCTGGGTGTCATTGGAGCAGTCCATAACCTCGATCCCTCGAGCCCTTCCCTGGTGTGGGACAGCACTGCCCACACAACTGAGCACCCACCCGACGGTGGGCCCCACCTGGCGGATGGCCCAGGCGGCTTTGAGGGTTAAGCATCTGTCCCCCTCTCCATCTATTGTGTACCCGATCCTTGGCAACCCCGAGCTCCCTCCCGGTCTGGAAGACGGGTTATTGCGCCGTCTTGTGAACCTGGGACGGTTTCGGGCGATGCTCCTTATCCAGGGCTCACAATGGCAGTCCCTGCGAGCCCTGATGTCTGACATGGAGCTGGGAGCTGGGAGACCAGGGCTTTTGGAGACAGCTCCAGCTTTCCCACTTCCTCGCTACACTACCTGCACCTACCGGTTATGCCCGGACCCTCACGGACTACGAACGCGCCTGTACCGACACGGGACCACTGGCTAAGACACTGTCCATCTGTTATCAATTGGTGGTAGAGGCGGACCTGGACTCCCCACTGTCCTTTTTTGGGCAGTGGGAGAGGGAGCTGGGGATCCAGTTTTCCCACGATGACAGGGCCAAGCTCCTGAGGCTCTTCCTGAAGTCGTCCATATACAACAAATACCAGGAATCGGGCTACAAAATCCTGACCCGCTGGTATAGAACTCCGCGCAGACTTCACCTGATGTACAACGAGGCATCGGATGTATGTTGGCGGTGCGCCTCCTCTCCCACAGACATGCTCCATTTTTTCTGGACCTGCCCGAGACTAACACCTTTTTGGTCACGAGTCCGGCAGATAGCCCAGAAGTTTACAGACCACCAAATCCCAGAGGACCCAGCGTTCTTTCTCCTCCACCATAACTCATTCCCACTGAAGGGATACTCCAGGTCAGTGCTGGTACACTTGCTGAATGCGGCACGCGCATGTGTCCCTATCCTATGGAAACAGGAGACCCCACCTTCGATACGGCTCTGGTTTACCAAAGTGAATGACATCAGAACCATGGAGGACCTGACTAGCTCCATTAGGGGTACCTCCGCCAAATTTGCCACCACCTGGTTTTACTGGGGCGAATTTACCGCAACGGCCGAATACCAAACCATCATGGCTTCCTGAGGAAAGCGGTCACAATCCTAGCATGCTCCCCCCCTCTGCTCCCTCCCGTCCCCAAACCCCCTCTCCACCTATTGTATGTCTCCTCCCCTCCCCCCACCCACCCCCCGACCTACAGTAGAGGTCACTACGGTAATCCCACTGTGGACGCCCCGCCATGCCGGACGGACCCTAAAATGTCATTTAATAGCACTTCTGGCTCGCACATGGTGGCAACGCGCCCTAATCAACTACTGGCAAGACTCTCGCGGATGCGAGGGCTAGTCATGCGATCAATGTTTGAAATGCCGTAGTCGATCTGTATGTTTATTACAATTATCAGAGCTCTCTGTATTTTTGTTGTGATAACATGTGACACTTCTGCCCTTATCCAGGTCAGTGCTGGTACACTTGCTGAATGCGGCACGCGCATGTGTCCCTATCCTATGGAAACAGGAGACCCCACCTTCGATATGGCTCTGGTTTACCAAAGTGAATGACATCAGAACCATGGAGGACCTGACTAGCTCCATTAGAGGTACCTCCGCCAAATTTGCCACCACCTGGTTTTACTGGGACGAATTCACCGCAACGGCCGAATACCAAAACATCATGGCCTCCTGAGGAAAGAGGTCACAATCCTAGCTTGTTCCCCTCCCCCCCTCCGCTTCCTTCCGTCCTCAAACCCCCTGTCCACCTATTGTATGTCTCCTCCCCTCCCCCCACCCACCCCCCGACCTACATTAGAGGTCACTACGGTAATCCCAATGTGGACGCCCCGCCACACCGGACGGACCCTAAAATGTCATTAGGAAAACTTCTGGCTCGCACACGGTGGCGCTGCGACCTATTCAACTACTGGCAAGACCCTTGCGAGGGCCAGTCGAGCGATCAATGTTTGAAATGCCGTAGTCGATCTGTCTGTTTATTACAATTATCAGAGTTCTCTGTATTTTTGTTGTGATAAGATGTGACACAACCGCCTTTGTTTGTTGTTATATTACGAAACTGTTCAATAAAGAATTTATTAAAAAAAAGATTTCTGGCAGGATCAACCGGTATTTTTTGCACCTATCGAACAGATATATCAAAACCCATTTAATGGTGTATTTAGCAGCCCAAAAAGGTAAACATAAGAGAAGTTCTTCATTAGGGTTTACATATACTTAAAGATAATAATAAAAACAGTCAATACTACAGTTAAATGCTGATTTTTTTATTGTAAAAACTTTATTTACAGTTTTTTTTGTAAATTGTCGGTGTGTTGCTTTGTCTGTGGCTTCTGTACCTATCATACTGCTATTTTTCTCTCTGTCTTGCTGGCTTCTTGTTTCTCTTTATCCTGGGTTCTGGAAGCATTCTGTCATTTAGTTGTTTTGCTTTTAGTTCACGTTCCAAAATTTCTCTTGGGAAAAGGCTGCCCTCGTCAAACACAGCTTTCAGTGCTAGAATAGTTATAGAATCACATTTACATTATTCATGTGCCTGGCAAGTATCCAAAAAGTCTTTATTAACACCGATTGCTAAACTGACCCAGTTTTACATTGTTATCCCCTCTTACCGTTATCTCAGGCAATGTGACATTCTTATAAGACCAAGGGCAGTAACAATGCACAAATGAAAAAAGTATTTCAGGAAAGACATATGGTTGCTGTGTACTTTTATTCAACTGATCTCAATACATATTTCAGAATGTACCTTAATATAAACACTTATATGCAAGATCATCGTTTTAGAAAGACTTGAATCCTCATTTACATGACTTTTACAAAAACATAAAAGCTGGATTTGCCAATAATCCAGACACACAAAGGCTGATGTTTTGTCAATTAGATCCAAAGATCACAGAACTCTTTGTTCTCCTAACGATCACTGAGACTACAAGTTTTACCACTAGAAATAATCTCTGTTGTTCTGTTCCTGTATATATAGGTTGGTTTGGTTGAAAGTTTTATTTTAACACTGAGTAGTAAGGAAAAAGAGAGGAAGAGAGGAACAACATTTTATTGCACTCAATCATTTTCAATTGGAGTGCAAACTATGGATGACAGGTTACTAAACTCTTTTTGGGGTCAAATAGTTTTCCACATGCTGGCAAATGTAAGCCCTTGGTACAATGGGAATGACAGGGTGCTTAGGCAACCTACAGCCAATCCAAGAAAAGAAATCGGAAGCTTCATTATTAACATTTGTGTTAGTGCATCAACACTGTGGATTGGTTGGTCAGCGTTGTCAGCTTTTAATGGGTAGGAGGAAGGGGACTTGGCTTATTAGAAGTCCCTTTTTCAATTAAATTGTGTGACTTTTGTAAACAAAATAGTGGTTTACTTATGAATGGAACTAGGGGAATGCCTACAGCCAGCGTCGTCCCTAGCCTTTTTGCCGCCTGAAGGGACCGGGGATTGGGCAGTGGTGGTGGTTGATTAACACTGCCCTCCCTGCCCGGTTAGGTGTACCACCCTGCTCCTGACAACCAGTGATGTCACTGGTTTCCAGGCGCTGGGCAGGATGCCAGACAGAGCATCCCAGGTTGCTAAGAGCTGGACAAAGAGATATGTATGGCCCTTACACATCTCCACATCCAGCTCTTAGCAACCTGAAACACTCTGGCCACTCTGCCTGCTGCCCCCCTGCTGCTACCCCCCACGTGATGCTAATAGATGCCACCTGAGCCAACAGGCTCATTGAAGGGATGGCCCTGCCTACAACCCAATTGAGGTCACAAATCTATATCTGCAGTTAAATAGAAATTGTATTAAAAACCTGTTTTAATAGTCTTACCTCCACTTTTTTCTTGTTACACCTGTTGTGCAGAGTATCTAAGTGTGGCTGTGTTAAGGTGTCCATACACCTTACAACCATCGCATGACTTTCGTTGTGCGATGGTTGTAAGGTGATTAAAATTTCGTACGACCTGCCCATCTTGGACAGGCAGATCATAGGGGAGGGCTGAGGGAAGGGCTTATAGATGATTGCATCGCGCTACCAACCCTAGCGTGCACGTAAGACGAAAGTCAGAAAGTCGTGCGACCTTACAGTATATGCGGTCGCACGCTGCCCATACACTTTACGATTATCGTACGATCGCGGCATCACCCGCAATTATCGTACGATAATCGTCAGCTGTATGGGGAGCTTAATTTAACAGGCACCTGGTAGAACCCAGAGCTCTCATTAATTCCCCCACACCTGGTCAGACAAGCCTCCAGCCATTCTGTAATATACAAATCTGTGTACGGACACTTGTGCTAAGAGGTTTAGCTGTTACTCAGCTCTGCTATCACAGACCAAAAGGAGAAGGGGACAGAAAGCAATTATACTGAGAGATTAAATTATGTTGCAAATCACCAAGTCTTCAGCCGGGTTTCAAGATTTGCTGTGTGATGGGGAACAAGTGTTAAACGTGCCTAGGTAGTACCCTGAAAAATTTACCTTTTGCCTGTAACTCTTCCATATAAATAGCCATGCACTTTCTAGCAGGTGAGTGTGTCTAGGCTCTACTGTGCCTACATCCTCATAGCTGTATATCTGCAGTGTGAGATCTAAGGCTAAGGACTGCACCTCGGGAGATTTGGAGTAGAATTTGGTGATGTCTCTACTGTGTTGCTCATTGTTCTCCTTGCTGGAGGCTCTGCCACGAGGAAGCACTTTCCTGCATCCACCAATATGGCCTCACCCACACAAAGACATGGTGCAGAACAAGGTATGGTAGGTCATCAATGGGGAAAGATCAGTTGCAGGGAGACCACAGGCAATATTGGTGACTAGTTCTTTGTCCTGTGCATGCCCTTTCTTGGGCATAACTTCCATAGTTCAGTTCTTTTTTTAGTGGTGACTGTGATCACCCCTTTCTTTTCTTTGGTTAGTTATATGTTATAACTGAGAGTAAGGAAACCACCAGATACCGCCATCTATAGCACTTCAGATGAAAATGTTGAGAGGTAATGTTGAGTTTTTACTTGTACTTCTACAATCTGTTTCCAGTGCGAAAATATCTAAAAATAGATTCAGCAACAAAGTTTTGTACTCCGTGTTTAGGGATGAAGAGATGTTGGCTATGTAGCAGCTTTATTATTATGTGCTGTTTAATAGGCTATGCTGGAAGAGTCAGTGGGCTGTCATTAACTTTTAAAAGCAATCTGTCACTTAGTTTTGCTCTGTTATAGCGCTTCTATTAAAACTGACCTGACCAATTTTTCAACATACTGAAAGTTTTCTGAGGTTGACACTACCAATCATTTTGTTACACTTGTTATTGCTCGATCACTAACTGCTCTGCTCAGCTGTCACAGCGAAGTCTTGAAGTCAGATTGCTGCATTGTGCATGGGCAGTATTAGTTAGACTGTTAACAATAATAGGCACTGCAGCTTCTCACCATCGCCTGTGAATGCACATTAAAGTTTGTTTACATGTCACCTTTTTATCAATGCCATATCAAACCAGAGGCAATTCTTTAAATCTGTTTGCAAGAGATCAGAGTGTTACAGCTAGTTTTGAATTGTTAAATCATTTATGTCTTCTTCCCCTAATTGCAACAGCAGTAGCCATCTTTTTTCCACAGGATTAGTAGGATGTTGTTAGCAGAACATTTTAATAGAAACTGAAAATAAAATACCGGTAGCAGTTTTAAAAATATATATAAAGTATTAAAGCTGAGCTGCGAAATACATAATAATAGCTAAAAAAATGTATTTAAAGCGGTACTAAACTGATATGTGCTAGGTGGGCTTTTGCCATAATAAGCAAGTACAGTTTTCACAGCATACTTGCACATTATGACACACTCACCTTGCAAGTGTTCCCTTCTCCAGTGCTGTGCGATGGATCCTCTGCCCTGCGCTGTTTACATATCCTCTGCCTCCACTTTTGGGTTCTCAGGTATCTTCTTCAGCCTTTGAATGGTCACTGATGATGTAACTCCTGTGCATGGGGACAGAAGATACATCCTCACCGGCATCAGACCCATTTACGGCATCTTAGTCCCTGTTCACACCACGTTTCGTGAGCAATTGCACACAAACACAGAACGCATCAAAAATGGGCAACGTGTTTGCAGTGCCATTACTTTCTAACGACACCCAAAACGTGGCCAGGAGAACATGCTCTTTTCCTCGCATTGACACAGATTAAAGCGTGCACAAACGCGCAGAGAAAAACTGAGGACGCATATCGCAGAATCTGCAAAATTAGCTACTCTCCCATGTTTGCCACGCGTATGACACCTATTGAAATCAATTGGCAAATATGGGAAAAAACACACGCAAACATGCACAAATGCATGCAATACATATTCTTGGTATGCCAAGATGTGAACGGGACTTTAGAGAAGCTATGAATGAGCCAAGAGTGTACACTGCACAGAGCATGCACCATACAGTGTACACAGAAGGTTATGAATCACTAGGGGGAGGGGGAATAATCCCGACCTTCTAGCAATGCTTAACTTATTTTTACTGCTTTAAAATAGACAAATGTGAACTGTCTTATCTGCCAAAGATTTGTAATTCTGTTCAACCACTTCTGTGAACCATACACCTCTGCCAGACAGCACACCCAGGAGGGCGACACCGCTTTTTATGTTACAGTTAAAGCTGAATTCCAGGCAAACATCTAAATACACAGATGGAATGCACATATGAAAGTTTTACATGTCAAAGATTTTGCATTTTCTGTCCATCTATTTCCGAGATTTATACAATCCCCTTAAAACAGCAAAGGCTTTCTGGCAGGGCATGAGACCTGATTTTTCTCTGCTGCAGTTAAAGTGGACCTTTACCCCTTTCACTAAAAATCACATCAGCATGCATTGCTGGAAATTCTCATCTTGCATCCTGGGAAGGTTACATCACAGTGCATTGCTGGAAATTCTCATCTGTAAACTGCAAAATTTTACAAGATCTCATGGAAAGGCATTTTTTTCCCCTGAGATGATGTGCATGGTCACATGTCCTAGTCACAGGAAGTAAAGGGAGAAATATGAATCTACTCTTAGTAAAAATGGCTACTGTGAGAAGAATGGGCAGGAAAAGAAAAATAAGGTATGCAAAGAATAAAAAGCCAGCAATTATCTGTAAGTATCTTGGAGCTGATTGTTTGTTGCACTGTAAGTAGGCAGCAAAGGTTTTATACAATAATATTGCTTAATGTGATAGTAATAGGTTCATGCTTGAGGTTATGTTTAAAGGTTAGGTGTATATATACAGGGCCATCCCTATAATGAGATAGCCTGAGTCGGTTGCTTCGGGCAGCATCTCTTTTGGGTCACATGGGGGGTGGCAGGTGTGCTTGCTGCCCCCTTTACAGCCAGAGCGTCCCAGGTGGCTAAGAGCTCTTAGCCACCTGTGATGCTCTGGCTGGCATTCTGCCAAGCTCCTGGCAACCAGTGTAGTCACTGAGCAGGGTCCAGCCAAGCTCATGGCAACCAGTGAGATGGTTGGGACACAGCCAGAGCCAGAGTCCCCCCCCCTCCCCAGAGTAATGTGCACCACTAGCTACCCCCGAAACTTGCACCACACCCCCGTGGACTCAGACAACAAATGGTCTAGAGACACCCCTGGGTGTATAGGTTAGATTGAAGTTAAGAGTTACATTTAGAGTTCAGAGTTATAACTAGGTCCAGGGTTACACTGAGGTTAAGTGATTAGAAGTAGTGGCCAAGTAGTGCCAAGTGAATGTTCATTTAGCTTAGTGATTAAGATAATGACGTGTTTATTGTTAATGCCTAAAACATGTTTTTTGCTTGCACTTAATTGGATGATTGACATGAACCCAGTTTTACCTCTTTTACTAAGCTAAATGAACATTGGTTTTACAAAGGGAAAACCCCCATACCCCTTCAGTTAAAGTGTATCTAAATCCAAAAGCAAAAATGATATATAGTGCAGCTTACTAGTCCTTAGATATGGTGGCTGCATTTGTTTTCACTTTTCAGGCTAACAACATTTTCAGCCAGTACAGAAAATTTCTGTTGCCAGAAATGCAATGTCCTTGTCACTTTCTGTAGCATAAAAGAAAGTACAAAGAACTCTATACAGTATTTATTGTGTGAAATACTAGTCCCATCAATCCACCATTTAATGGAGATGGACAATGGAAATATGTTTGAAGTCCAACCTGTGAGACAACCATGGCTGTTGTCCAACCTGTGAGACAAACATACATACAATGGAGAAGTGAGTGCAGCCATGAAGGGATAGTAAGTAATTCACAGGATCGCCAGGTGAAAATAAAGGAAAAGCTGGCGACGTACACTGTACGTCGTCAGTCACGAAGGGGTTAAAAAAGAAATCTAATGCAACCACCACATCTAAGGATTGGTAAAACTACATTACATTCTTGATTTTGGGTTTAGATATGTCCTACCCAACACTGGTAAATGACTATTACTTTCTTTATGCACTAAATTGTTCATGTTCTATAAACTCACTTTCATGTGTAAATGTATCAAATATGGAAGCAATCTGTTTTTGTCAAATGTGTCAATATGCTGAAATGTGTAGCAGTGAAGTTTCTGTGCCAAAAACACTTCAATTTTCAGAAGCCAAAAGTGAGCTGGCTGTTTTATGTGGAAAGCATAGACATTATAGAATCAGAGGAGCACATATACTTTATGAATACTTACTATTTATGAGTGTAGGGACTTCCGCAACCTTAGAACTTTTCTCTTCTGTCTTTTCTCCAAAGTATTTGTCAGGGTTTATAATAAAATCTGGTTTACTAATTTCCAATGTATCCTGCAGCACACCTATGTTTAACAAGCTGAAGGTACCTGCAGTCAATCATAAGTATCATTAATATCTATGTTTATATTTTCCTCATTTTATGTAAATCAATGCAATATAAAAATCAGTATTAATATTCTGTCTGCATTTGAATGTTTAATCTGTGTGGGTTGCTCTGGGGTTTCCATTTTCCTTTTGCAGTCTGAAAAAGTTGAGATGCTAGGTTGAGAGCTATCTAAATAATCCCCTCATAGTGGGCCTGATTTACTAAACCATATCAGTGCATGCCATTGCATCAATGTGTAGGCAGAATGGGCAGAACAACTTGACTCCTTACATTATTTACTGCATTATAAACAGATATACGCGTACCTGTTACAGCATGTATACAGCAAATTTACTAACAAATGTGGTTTTGTGAAGGATTTTATACTCCAGGATCTAAACTTAAAAGAAAAATGGGCAATGTGGGGCAAAAAAAAAACTACTATACAGAAAAACAGCATAGTCCATGTTGTATGGCATATACATGTGTGTGCCATAGTGCACTGCACAGAAGTGCAGGCTCTTACTTCAGCAAGCATGTTTCATACATTGCTGTTTGAGAACAGAGGAGCTTTAGCATGTGTTTCTAGCATGGCTTAAAGAAGAACTCCGGGGAAAATATTCTTAACCCTTTCAGTGGGTCTACCCCCATATTGCAAGAGTTATGTGCTCGTTTTTGTCTATGGTGTGGAATAAAAAGTTACACTTATCGGAACCTTGGAGTTCAGGAAAGGAGCTGAAATTGGCTTATCAGTGAGAGGAACAAAAGTGATCAAGATAGGTATCCTACCCTGTCTAATTACCTCCAAAGAGATGCTAGAAGGTTAATTGGCCAGGTATGTATGTAAAATAGGGACGTTAGATTGTAAGCTCTTTGAGGGCAGGGACTGATGTGAATGTGCAGTACGTAAAGCGCTGCGTAAATTGTCGCTGTTATCGAAATACATGTAATAAATAATAATAAATAAATAATTATCTGTTCTCTCCAACAGTGAGTAATTGCAGACCCAAAGGTCATCAACAGATGAGGCTTTCACCTGAATCAGCAAACAATGGACAGTTTGGGTGAATGTCATCTAATACTTGATTTAACACTGCCTGATTAATATCTGTGTCAGGAACTGTGTGCATCAGGAAATGTCCAATCTTTATCAACTTACCAACATAGTCATCGACATAATCATTAATGTTGGAATGTAACCTTCTAGAAAACGGCAAGTAATACTGCAGAACTTTTTATGCTTTTGAAAAATAATTTTTCTTTTGATTCTCTACCTTTTGCTGCTTTTGTTTCTGTCCAATAATTAGCTCCTGCCAAGTCTGCCCACTCACTAGCTCCTACTACATGTATTCAATTAATGTTACTGTCGATAAGCACACAGGGGCTTCTAAACACAGTGGACACAGCCATTCCCCAGCTGCCGTGCATGCCCTGTCAATAGGAAACACTGCAATTGATTTCAAATACAAATCCTTGGGTAAATAAGTCAGGTAATAAATACATTTCACAACATAACTGGGGGTATCCGAAATATAGGTGTAATAAGATGGAGTGCACAAGTCTAAATTTGGTGTTAGAAACTAGGCTGTGGTCAGCTCTGATTGTTTAGGTTATATTGGGCGTGTTGAGTTTTTTTCTAAGCCACAGACACAGCAGTGACAGGAATGGACCTTCGGCTCTCCCCTCTCTCTTTCCATCTCCAGCCACCCGCTTATGTGGACGGGTTCCCACTGCCGAACACCCACTCAGCCAAGGCTCTCCTCCTCAGTGGCGGATCCAGGGGGGGGGGGG